TGTCAGTTTGCACGACCTGAGGCAGTCCAAAAGTGGAAAAAATTGCAACATATGAGCAACAACAGTTTTTGCTCGGATGTTCCTTACAGCAAAAGCCTCTGGGTAACGAGTAGTGATACACATCATTGTGATTAGGTAAATATTACCAGACTTAGTTCTAGGTAATAGTCCAACACAGTCCATTACCACATGAGAAAATGGTTCCTCTGGCACGACAATAGGCTTTAGAGGAGCTTTAGGTGGAGTCTGGTTTGGTTTCCCAACCAGTTGACAAGCAATACACGCATTACAAAATTTTGCCACATCGCTTTTCAGCTTGGGCCAGAAAAAAATACTTTAAAATTTTGTGATACGTAATATTAATACCTTGATGTCCCCCCATAGGATCATCATGAGCAGCTGCCAAAACTCTTTCTCTATAGCAGGTCGGCAACATAACCTGGTCGACTACCTCCCACTCATTTGACAAGGGAGCACTCTGGGGTCTCCATTTTCTCATCAAAATCCGATCATTGTAATAGTACCCAGTTGCTGCGTCTACAATTTCCTCCATAGAGACAGCTGTCTCATGACAATCTGCAAGAGTGGGGTCAGCTTTCTGTAACTCACTCAAGGAGGCATCTAGGCCTTGGTCAGATGCTATTGGCCGAGGCTCAACAGTGTTCACCTCCCCACTACTCTCGGTAGATGGCGGTGGCAGGCTCTCCACAATGTCCTCGGCCACGTCATCGAGTCGGGCCATGAATGTGTCCGCGAGGTCGACTTGGTTTTCACCACTCGGAAAGTTCCTTGTGTCCTCGGGATTTATCACCTTGGCAAGCACAGGGCTGCCCTTACATTTAAGTCCTATAGACCTGGTCACTGCGCACGCAGGGTACACAACATTATCCTCTGCGGCGGGTGGATCCAGGCAAACCTTAGGGGTAGGCAACATAATAGGCAGTCTGGAGTCCCCTACCTTATCCCCTGCTAAATCATTACCAACTATTACATCAACATTAGGGAAAGGTAGGTATGAAGTGATTCCGACTGTACAAACACCCTTGTGGAAATCAGATTCCAGGGTAACCTTATGGAGGGTTACTGCTCGAGTATCACTAGTGACACCCTCGACCAGTACCACCTCTCCAGTGTCGAGATTGTTGGCACCTTGCAACGCACTCTCTAACATTAAAGTCTGGATGGCACCGGTGTCTCGGAAAATCACCACGTCCTTCCAGGAAGAACCCTCAGACAAAAGTAGTCTCCCTTTCGATAAGAATGGGGTAAGCAAGTCCAACCACTGTGGGTTGGAGGTCTTACTCCCTAACCCTTCCGAAGGCCTCAAGCCCTGTGTCACAACTAGAGCATTGGGTCTTTTTTTCCGGGTACAGTTGCCAACAACGGCTAATCGTGTGGTTTGGACGATTACAGTGACCACAAAAACGTCGGGGAGAAGAGACATTACTAACAGAATTACCCTTTGGTTCACCCTTAGGTGCCGTGGGGCTAGACACTTTAACAGGGTTAGTTATGTCTGAAACAGAAGGTGCATTAGGTAAAGGGTTAGAATGAGCTGGTCTGGACTGGCTGTGGGTATAAGTTTTGCTATCTGTGGGGTATAATTATTTTTATTCGGCCTTTTGCCCGCCAATTGGTAGTTTTCTGCCAACTTGGCCAAATTCCCTATTTTAGAATTTACCTCTACCCTTCCTCTAATGTAATGTGAAACATTCTCTGGCATAATATCTATAAAATGCTCCATTAAAACTAAGTTCCTGAGAGCCTCGTATGTTTCGGCTTTCGCCGAGCGAATCCATCTATCAAACAATCTAATTTGATCGTTAACAAATTCAGTGAGCGGTTGGTTGTGAGTAGGCCTAAGGTTGCGATAAACTTGGCGGTGAGCTTCAGGAGTAATTTCATATGCCCGCAAAATACATTCCCTGACTTTATCATATTCAAAACACTCGTCGTCAGGCATGTTTATAAAAATATCTTGTGCTTTACCCCTAAGTCTTCCCTGTAGGATTTTCACCCACTCTTCCTTTGGCCAGTTCATGGACATGGCCAATCTCTGAAAATGGTTGAAAAACCTTTCAGGGTCTGACTCGGAAAATTCAGGCAAATTATGCTTTTTCTCATAATGCCTGGGGTTTGAATCCCCGGCAGGTGGAGGTCCAGTGGCATTCGCTCTAATTCTAGCCTCATCAGTTTTGAGTCTTTGCTCCTCTAATTTTATTTTTGCTAACTCTAGAGCTAATTCTCTATCCCTATGAGTTGCACTTTCTGCTTTGCTAGGCTGGCATAAAGGTGTATCACTTGCCAATAGTTCTTCATCAATACAATGTTGTAATATTTCATTCACCAAAGTCCACTTTTTATCCGCGTCATTTAATTCTAGGCCAAATTCCTTGCCTAACAATACTAAATTAGACTTGGTAAGTTTCTTTATCTCTACTGCTGATGGCTCCCTTGCCAGTCTTTGCATTTCAGATGACATCACTAATAATTTTAGCTCACAGCCAAAGAAAAAATTAAAAAATAAAAATTGGAAAAAAAACAAAAATTTGCATGGCCCCTAACACAAGGCCACACTAACCTTAATCGTGAAGGGATCCAGCTGGGTGTCCAGTCAGTGCAAGAATGTCCTTTGCTAGATGAGCTGGACCCTAGGCTAGCACACAACCGTTCTGCGGAAACAAAAAATTTTAGTTTTGGCACTCAAGAATCTAATTTTTTACACTTATAATGTTCCTCCGGGACTGGCCAACCACTTGTTATAAATAATTGTGTTGTGGGCTTGCTATGGGGGAACTGGTACTATTAAGGGGTAAGGGTAGTTAGAAGACAGAGTATCAATTATGGGAGAGCTAAAAGGCCCGGCCCCCAAAATAAACTATCCACAGTAATAATACCTTGCTACTAGACCATATATGTCAGTCTAAGGGTTGATCAATGCACTCCCACACAGGAAGAAGGGATACTCCTATAATTCATGTACTTATTTATTTACCCCTTAACAACCCCCCATATACATTCACACCAATAACAATAATAATAATAACTTTACCACCCTATCTTACGTTAAAAGCCTTGGTCCACATAGACAGGATACAAGGTTTACACTGAGAACAAGCTAGGGTAAAGTACTACTGGATAAGCACTGAAGCTGGATGCAGCTTAGGGTAGTGAGACCACGTGGTACCCTAATACAAAACACAACAATTAGGGGTTGGGCTAACAATTTAGCCCAAAACACTGGCAAATACTACCCCCAGGTCTCACCAATCGTTACTACCAGAGTAGGCACACTTAAAACACCATACTTAACTTAATGGTACAGGAACTTAAGGTAAGGGAAATAAGTAAGAGGAGAAGGGAGGAGAGTAGGGGTGCAGCCACAGAGTAGGTCTCGTCCCCACGAACGCCAGCTAGAGAAGATGGAGTCTCAGTCTCCTTCCCCACAGCTGCCGGCAGACTGCTCAACTAATCGTACCGCAGCCCTATACCAAGTTTACTCAGGTTTACTTTACAAATGATTAGAAAGTAATAGTAAGCATAGTTGGTGCCTATGTTATTATTTAATAATCAACCCCCAGCTCAGTCTTTAAATGCTCTTTGAGAAACAAGAATAGTCTTACGTCTGGCAGGGAAGATACAAACAAAGCCACATCAGGTTGCGATTTTCTACTCTAACGTAGCTTAATTAGTTAAATTTTGACCTCTGGTTTCCACTGAAGAACCCAGGGTCGTAACAACGCTACACACTGACACGCTGCACACTGGCATGCTGCACACTTGCATGCTGCACACTGGCATGCTGCACACTGGCATGCTACACACTGGCACGCTACTTTCTGACACGCTGCATACTGGCATGCTGCACACTGGCATGCTACACACCGACACGCTGCACACTGGCATTTTGTGCACTGGCACACTAAGCAATGGCACGCTACACACTGGCACGCTGCACACTGGCACGCTAAACACAAGCGCGCTGCACATTAGCACGCTACACACTGGCATGTAACACACTAGCACACTACTCACTGGCACGCTACACACTGGCACGCTGCACACAGGCACGCTGCACTATGGCACGCTTCACTCTGGCATGGTACACACTGGCATGCTACACACTGGCACGCTACACACTAGCACCCTACACTCTGGCACGCTACACACTGGCACGCTACACACTAACACCCTACACTCCTGGCAGGCTACACACTAGCACCCTACACTTTGGCACGCTACAGACTGGCGCGCTACACATTGGCACGCTACACACCAGCACCCTACACTCTGGCACGCTACACACTGGCGGGCTACAGACTGGCGCGCTACACACTGGCACGCTACACACTGGCGGGCTACAGACTGGCCTGTTAATCACTGACTCCCTACACACTGGCACGAAACACACAATCACTCTATCTACTAGCTCCCTGCACACTAGCACGCTGCACACTGGCACGCTACACATTAGCATGCAACATGCTAGCACACTACACACTTGCCTACTACACACTGACTCGCTACACACTGGCACGCTACACACTGGCACGCTGCACATTGGCACGCTACACACTATCGTGCTGCACACTAGCATGCTTCACACTGGCATGAAACACACTAACACACTACTCACTGGCACGCTACACACTGGCACGCTGCACACTTGGACGCTGCACACTGGCACGCTGCATTTTGACACGCTACACACTGGCACGCTACACACTGACACGCTACACACTGGCAAGCTCCACACAAGCACGCTACACACTGGCGCGCTACACACTGGCATGCTACACACTGTCTCTCTACACACTGGCACGAAACACCAAAGCACTCTACCCACTAGCACCCTGCACACTTGCATGCTGCACACTGGCACACTAAACACTTGCACGCTACACACTGGCATGTTACACACTGGCAAGCTGTACACTAGCACGTCACACACTTGTACACTACACACTGGCACGCTACACAATGGCAAGCTGCACACCTAGATGCTATTCATTGGCAAGCTGCACACTGGCATTGTACACACTGACACGCTACACACTGACACGCTGCACACAGGCATGCTGCACACAGGCATGCTGCACACTGGCATGCTATACACTGACACGCTGCACACTGGCATGCTGCACACAGGCATGCTGCACACTGGCATGCTATACACTGACACGCTGCACACTGGCATGCCGTACACTGGGGCACTACACACTGACACGCTGCACACTGGCATGCTACACACTGACACGCTGAACACTGTTATGCAGCACACTGGCATGCTACACACTGGCATGCTGCACACTGGCATGATGCACACTGACACGCCTCTAACTGGCATGCTGCACACTGGCACACTAAACAATGACACGCTACACACTGGCATGCTACACACTGGCAAGCTGCACACTGGCATGCTACACACTGGCAAGCTGTATACTGGCATAATACACACTGGCAAGCTGTACACTGGCATGCTACACACTGGCATGCTACACACTGGCATGCTGCACACTGGCATGCTACACACTAGCATGCTACACACTGACACGCTACACACTGACAAGCTGTACAATGACATGCTTCACACTGACACGCTGCACACTGGCATGCTGCACACTGGCATGCTACACACTGACACGCTGAACACTGGCACACTACACACCGATACGCTACACACCGGCAAGCTGGTCACTGGCATGCTACTCACTGGCACGTTACACACTGGCACGCTACACACTGGCACGCTACACACTGGCACGCTACACACTGGCACGCTACACACTGTCAAGCTGCAAACTGGCATGCAACACTATGACAAGCTGTACACAGGGATGCTACACACTGACTCCCCACACACTGGCACGAAACACAAGCACTCTACCCACTAGCACCCTGCACACTAGCACGCTGCCCACTGGCATGCTGCACACTAGCACGCTGCACACTGGCACACTAAACACTGGCAGGCTACACACTTACACGCTAAACACTGGCATGCTACACACTGGCAAGCTATTCACTGGCATGCTGCACACTTCCATGCTACACACTGACACGCTGCACACCGGCATGCTGAACACTGGAATGCTACACACTTACACGCTACACACTGACAAGCTTTACACTGGCATGCTGCACACTGAAACACTGCACACTGGCATGCTGCACACACTTGCATGCTACACACTGACACCCTGAACGCTGGCATGCTGCACACTGGCACACTATACACTGACACGCTGCACACTGGCATGCTGCAAACTGAAACTCTACACTCCGACACGCTGCACACTGGCATGCTGCACACTGGTATACTGCACACTGACACGACACTCACTGGCATGCTGCACACTAGCACACTACACACTGACACGGTGCACACCGGCATGGTGCACACTGGCACACTACACAATGATATGCTGCACACTTGCATGTTGCACACTGGCACACTTAACACTGGCACGCTACATACTGGCAAGCTGCACACCGGCATGCTACACACTGGCATGCTACACACTGGCACGCTACACACTGTCAAGCTGCAAACTGGCATGCAACACTATGACAAGCTGTACACAGGGATGCTACACACTGACTCCCCACACACTGGCACGAAACACAAGCACTCTACCCACTAGCACCCTGCACACTAGCACGCTGCCCACTGGCATGCTGCACACTAGCACGCTGCACACTGGCACACTAAACACTGGCAGGCTACACACTTACACGCTAAACACTGGCATGCTACACACTGGCAAGCTATTCACTGGCATGCTGCACACTTCCATGCTACACACTGACACGCTGCACACCGGCATGCTGAACACTGGAATGCTACACACTTACACGCTACACACTGACAAGCTTTACACTGGCATGCTGCACACTGAAACACTGCACACTGGCATGCTGCACACACTTGCATGCTACACACTGACACCCTGAACGCTGGCATGCTGCACACTGGCACACTATACACTGACACGCTGCACACTGGCATGCTGCAAACTGAAACTCTACACTCCGACACGCTGCACACTGGCATGCTGCACACTGGTATACTGCACACTGACACGACACTCACTGGCATGCTGCACACTAGCACACTACACACTGACACGGTGCACACCGGCATGGTGCACACTGGCACACTACACAATGATATGCTGCACACTTGCATGTTGCACACTGGCACACTTAACACTGGCACGCTACATACTGGCAAGCTGCACACCGGCATGCTACACACTGGCATGCTACACACTGGCACACTACACACTGACACGCTGCACACCGTCATGGTACACACTGGCACACAACACACCGACACGCTGCACACTAGCATGCTGCACACCTGCATGGTGCACACTGGCACGCTACACACTGACACGCTACACACCGGCACGCTATACACTGGAGCGCTTAACACTGGCACTCTAAACAATGGCATGCTACATATTGGAATGCTACACTCTGGCACGCTACACACTCGCACGCTACACACTGGACCGCTAAACACTGGACCGCTAAACACTGGCACTCTAAACAATGGCATGCTACATATTGGAATTCTACACTCTGGCAAGCTACACACTCGCACGCTTCACACTGGCACGTTACACACTCGCACGCTACACACTGGCACGCTACACACTGGAACGCTAAACACTGGCACTTTGAACACTGGCACGCTACACAATGACACGCTACACACTGGACACTCTACACAGTGGCACGCTGCACGCTGGCACGCTACAACTGGCACGCTACACACTAGCACGTTGCACACTGGCAGACTACACACTGGCACGCATCACACTAGTACGCTACACACACTGCCATGCAACAAACTAGCACATTACACACTGGCATGTGACACACATGCTTTTTTAGTGTCAGAGTGGTTGACAAATGGAATGCCTTAGGAAGTGATGTGGTGGAGGCTGACTTCATACACAGTTTCAAGTGTAGATATGATAGAGCCCAATAGGCTCAGGAGCCTGTACACCTGTTGATTGACGGTTGAGAGGCAGGACCAAGGAGCCAGAGCTCAACCCCCGCAAGTACAACAAGGTGAGTACAACTAGGTGAGTACTGGCACGCTACACACTAGCACGCTACGCACTGGCATGCAACACACTAGCACACTGAACACTGGCATGCTACACACTGACACGCTACTCACTGGCATGCTACACATTCGCACGCTGCACACTGGCATGCTACACACTAGCAATCTACTCAACTGGCATGCTTCACACTTGCACGTTACACACTGGCACACTATACACTGGCACACTACACACTGGCACGCTACACACTGGCAAGCTGCACACTGGCATGCTACACTCTGGCATGCTACACACTGGCACACTACACACCGACAAGCTGCACTCTGGCACGCTTCACTCTGGCACGCTACACACTTGCACGAAACACACAAGCACGCTACCCACTAGCTTTCTACACTCTATCACCCTGCATACTAACACGCTGCACACTGGCACGATAAACACTGGCACGCTACACACTGGAAAGCTGCACACTGGCATGCTGCACATTAGCACTCTACACACTGGCATGCTGCACACTGGCACACTACACACTGACACGCTGCACACTGGCACGCTACATACTGGAACGCTACACAATGGCACTGACACATTTTATGACCAAATGTAGCCTGAGTGGAACGAGTCTACTCTTGAGAAAGTTACTCTGCCTTCCGGACCTGATTGTGAGAGTTCAGAGGAAAGATATATATATATTGAATATATTTAATAAACGTCAGTGAATAATTTGAGAATACGAGCAGTGGATGAGAATTTAAATAAGTGACATGAAATGAGATGTTGATACTTTGGTGACATGACGTAATGCTAGCAGGAGTCGTGACCTCATTTGAATCAAGACATTCGTCAGAGGTGTTCGTACTTCGTTGATTCTCCTGGAAGGAGGAAGAATATAGTTCACTGTGTTAGTGGTTGACCGAAGGCTGCTTGTTTGCAAGTTTGAGGAAGTTGTTGGGGACATAGTACACCATTTCCTCTATTAGGATATATTAGAGGCGACCTGGATGTGAGTGTTGGTCGCACCTTTGTTGAACTCTAATTGTGTTTTCTACAAGATTAGGGAAGTAAGCAGACGTTCTGTTGTGGAGCCTGTAGGGCGACTCCGTGTACTTAAGTCAGGAGCAGAAGAGCTGTGAGGCAGTCTTAAAGACAACTTGTTGGACGTCTTAGAGGACGCCTTCTTGGTGGGCCAGTTTAACTGGCCCAACAATTTAACGACGTCGAGCTACGAATTCTACGGTAAGCTCATGTAGCAGTTGTTATAGTAGTTGCCTCTGCTTGATCATGTGCCCAGCGATCATGGTAAGTGCTTATGCATGGATTATATACATTTTTATGGGGGCAGAGAGCTAAAATAGACGTTTAGAGATAAGAGAACATGCTGGAGAGAGAAGTGGTACATCCTCCCTCTCCGAAGGTCAAGTGCTGACTGAGGGGCGGAGGCCCCCCACAACGTCGCGACCAGGGTGGCGGCCCCAGTGACATATCAAGACAAGTTCCTAGTGTGGACTCGTCCAGGATGGGGGAGGACCATCGCGGCGACGCATTAGTATTTAAGAAGATGTCGGATGGAGGAGTTTTATTTACTGTGTATATATTAAATTATGTTTTGATAGGAAAATATACATTATGACATGATGATGGATTTGCAGGTTTGTGTGGGAGAACTGCAACGTTTGTGTGGCAGAACTGCAAAGGTTTGTGTGGGAGAAGTTAGTGATGGAACTTCGTACCAAACGAGGAGTGATATAAGGTTTTGCATCCCTTGTTGTCAAGATGAAGTGATATGCGCCGTAGAGCTGTACGTTTCCTAGCTGCCTTTTTAGCTAGGTTAAGCACATGGCTTTTCATTGTCATTGAAGAGTCGAACTTCATTCTCAAGATGTCAAATTCATCTGTGAACTCTAGGGATTTTCCACCCATTTTCAGGTCCGTCCGATTCGCCATGTGTGGTCTAGTTATCATCATCGCTTGTGTCTTCTCAGCTGCAAATGTGACCTGCCATCTCCTACTCCCAGCGTAGAAATCGTTGAAAGTTGGTGATTGATGATTCTTGCAGCAGTGGGCATTTCCTCCTTTCTGTATGTCAAAGTTAGAGTACAGTCATCAGCATAAGCTTGCACTTCAGGAATGAAATGAAGTAGATCGTTGAAATAAACAGTCCACAGAAAAGGGCCAAAAACACTACCCTATGGAACGCTGGCGCCAAGTCTTGATCTTTCTCTTTGCTCGTCTTCCCTTCACTTAGATTTCGAGTGGCGGGTTCTTGATGACCTCCATGGCAGTGACCATTTTCCCATCCTTGTTTCCTCTTTCTCTTTTCACCCACCCCTATCTTTCCCTAAGTGGGGGTTTGCTGAGGCTAACTGGCCCCTCTTTACCCTCCGTGCTACTATCTCCGACTTCTCCAATCTGCCTCTCCCTCGTGCCCTTCTCGTTTTTTATGACACCGTCTTCGACGCTGACCTCCACTCTATTCCTCGCTCTTCCTCTTGGAGTTTCGCGGAAGTGCGTTCCCACATTCCCTGGACATTCCCTGGTGGAATGTGGACTGTGCTCGGACTGTCCGCTGTAAGCTTGCAGCCTGGAAGAGACACCGTCGCTGGCAGACGACTGAATCTTTTCTTTTGTTTCGGAAGGCAAGTGCGGTGGCCCATAGGACCATTACTTTGGCTAAACGTGCATGTTGGATGTCTTATGTCTCCACCATCACATCCGAAACTCCTCTACCGCTGATCTGGTAGCGTATCCGCAAGATAGCGGGTAAGTTCGTTCCCGATGTCTCTCCGGTCCTTCACCTTGGTGGTACTCTTGTGGCGGACCCGTTGCAGGTCCCGACCGAATTGGGTTCCCAATTTTCGTCTGTTAGCTCTGGTTCTCATCTCCCTCAATCCTTCCTTCTTCGTAAGCCTCTTCTTGAATCTCATCGTTTGGATTTCTGTACCCATCTCAGCCTTCCCTATAACGATCCCTTCGCTCTCTCTGAGCTTCAGTCTGCCCTGGCCCTCTGCGGTTCTATGGCGGCAGGCTCCAATGACATTCATTGTGAGATGCTTCGACATCTCTCTCTGTGCTCGTCTCAGTATTTACTGAGTCTGTTTAATCGGGTCTGGGAGTCGTCGTCAGTCCCTGAGGACTGGCTCGATGCTGTTGTCCTCTCTGTTTGGAAACCAGGGTCTCTAGGGTCATCCCCCAAGGACTTCCGCCCTATTACCCTCACGAGTTGTGTCTGCAAGCTCTTTGAATGCATGGTTAATGTTCGTCTGATGTGGTTCTTAGAGCACTATCACCACCTCTCCCTTTCTCAATTTGGTTTTCGCAAGTGCCGCAGCACAAAGGATGTCCTGGTGAACTTAGAGGTCTATATTCGTACTGCTTTTGCTGCGAAGACCTCCGTTGTTGCCGTCCTTTTTGACCTGGAAAAGGCATACAACACTACCTGGCGGTATCAAATTCAGTCCCAACTTCATTCTTTTGGCCTTCGTGGGAATCTCCCTATCTTCCTCCAGAGTTTCCTCTCTCGTCGTTCCTTTTGAGTGAGGCTTGGTGCCACTCTCTCTGTCCCTTTTAGGCAATATGAGGGTGTGCCCGAAGGTAATGTTCTGAGCACTACTCTTTTTCTTGTTGCTCTCATTAGTCTTCTTTCCTGCCTTCCTTCTGTCGTCTTCTCCGCTCTCTATGTAGAAGATCTTACCCTTTGCTGTTGGGGTGATGATTCGCCTCTCCTTCAATGGCGGCTTCAACTTGCAGTTGATGCCGTGTCATCCTGGGCCACCGATCATGGCTTCAGGTTCTCTCCATCTACGACTTGTGCTAAGACTTTTACTCGGAAGTGTCATTCTTCGGCCCTCTTTGTCACTTTATGGTCGTCCCCTTGTGTGCAAGGATTCCGGTAAGCTTCTGGGGTTAATCTTTGACACTCGTTTGTCTTGGTCGGCCCATATCTCTTACCTCCGCGCTGAATGCTCTAAGGCCCTTTCCCTCCTTAATTACGGTTTTGTCCCATACTTCTTGGGGGGGGGGGCGGATATGCGTACGCTCCTTTGTTTACATTCCTCACTCGTCCTGTCTAAACTCGATTAAGGTTGCCCCTGCTTACTCGTCCGCTTCTTCTTCTATTCTTCGCCGTCTTGATGCTTTGCACCATGCTGGATTGCCCCTCGGCTCTGGTGCCTGTCGTTCGACTCCCGCCCTCAGCTTGTACGGTGATACTGGTTCCTATCTCTCCAGAACCGCCATGATTGCTACTGTCTTCGCTATCTGGCGTGGTCCTTGCAACATCCTTCCA